TATTGCAGAGAAGGAACTCTGGCACAACAGAATCCTGAGCCCCCCCCCTCCTCCCCAAAGGAGGGCCCCTTGCAGCAGAACATTGACAAGAGTGCCAGCTGTGTGGCTCTTTGGACAGGCATCTATCTGAGATGCTTGGATTCTGGCCCTGGGCAAGTGGTGGCCTCTTCCACCTCTAGGAATCCTGGATTCTGGGCTCTGGCATCTGGTTTAGGAATTTCTGGCTGGGGTATTCATGACAGATTCAAAGAACAACAGCAATAGATCACCTGGTGCTTCTCAGTATAGATAGCTATGTTTTTCTTTTTCTGAAAACAGGCCCAAACTCTGTCAGGGACCCTATCTGATCCTGGAAAACTTCCAGCAACGGAACATCCAGCTAATTCAGTCCATCAGAGAATTTCTTCAAGAAGATGAATCTCAGTTCAACAAATTTAAGATGTACTCGGGGCAGTTCAGGCAGGTGAGTAGCCAGGAAATTAATTTCATAGCAACAGTTGACGCCATGTGGGGTCTTCCTGGCAATTGTGAATCTGCCTTTAGATGAACATTTCTTTGTGAGAAACTATTCATCATTCTGGATAGAAGTGAGACTGACATTGTGAGCAACCAGCCAGCATTTTGGAATATTGCTTTTCAAAGAGGCTGATTGGCCTTTGGTCTCCTTAGAGGCTTGGCATTATCCTCAGAAATGGGGCAAGGGCTTGTTGTGCCTCAGCAGAAGACCCAGGGAGGGGAGGGAGACTTTTGCCCTTGATCCTGAGCAAGATCTGTAAGCGAGAATCTGACCTGTCTGCTGAGGAGGAGCCATGCTTCAAAGCGAGGCCTGTCAGGAGGCATGCGGTTCTCCGTGGTGTGGGTGACAACGGGGAGGACTTCTCCCAAGCGAGCCTTTCTCCACGCTCAGGTGGTGATGCCCCTTAACCTCAAGAGGAGACGGAGAATGACAACTACTGGGGCGTCTTTCACCTGATCACTAAGGTAGAAACTAGGGATTGGCCCAGAAGTGATGGTTAAAACTAAGAGGGACCCTCAATAGCAGGAAAATTTGCTATCTGTTGTTTTTATCTGCGTCTACTTCATTAAAAAAATAGAAAGCGATGATGTGCTTCAGATTTATGAATTACTTTGTAAGTAGGAGAGAGTTGAAACTTTGACATGCAACAAACTGCAGTTGGGGATGATCCGACTCTTCCTGAGTTCAATACATAAAAGGTTCTAGAAGCTCTCAGGATTGAGGCATTCGGATTCCAGAGAGGATCAGAAAGCTTTTTTGCTTGCTTTTAGTGCCCTTGTCTGCTTGGTTTACCTCTTGGTCTTGTCTTCCTGACATTGTATTCCAAGAAATGGCTGAGGTTTCCATGGCAATTGATCCGCCCTGGTCCTGGCCAAGACCCAGCACACAGAGACAAGCAGCTGTTTAACCTGCAGGACCCTCTTCACCTCGGCTGCGCTTTGTCCTCTTTCTAGGGGCTCAGCATCTTTTTTTGTATTGTGGCACCCAGAGCTGGACCCAGTATTCCAACTGTGGTCTCAGCAGTGCAGCCTAAAGCGGCACTAACACTTACCGTGATCTTGGTTCTATTAATACTGCCCAGGTGACTGCATTGCCCTTTTTGGCAGCTGCAGTACACAGCTGGCTCGGACTGAAGAGGTGGGCCACTAGGACTTCTGGATTGCTGTCGTGCCAGGTAACCGTGTATTCTATACCTGTGCGTTGGTTTTTCTTGCCTAAGTATAAAACCTTCCTTTTTGCACCACTGAATTGTGTTGAATTCGATAGGGCCCAGTGTTGAAGTCTTCTAAAGTGTTGCCAATTCCTTCACCCAGCTTAGTGTTGTCTACAAATTTGATGAGTTCGGTTCCCTTGCTTTCTCCTGCTGGAATTGCCAAATCCTTATGCAAAGTGGGAGAAGGATCTGTTACTGGATGATTTCCTTGGCTATGGAGAAAAAACTTCCATGGGATCTCTCGTCTTCATTCTTGCACATAGGGATTGTGTTTGTGATCTAATATGTTTGTGCCACCACAGATCTGAGCTTCCCGTTTGCGTTAGCGCCAATTCAGGCTTAGCTTTTTTCATTTCTTTTTCTTAAATGTCCAATTTCCCTTCCTAGGGTCTGATTTCAGCAGAGCAGTACTACAAAAGCTGCCAGGAGCTCTTGGGCGAGAACTTCAACAAGATCTTCAATGAGCTCTTGGTCCTCCTGCCAGACACAGCCAAGCAACAGGAACTGCTCTCTGCTTACCAGGACTTGAAGGTCAAAGCTCCAGCTGGCTCCTCCTCCCCCTCCTCGACCAGGTCCAAGAAGAACCGAAAGGGGGTCTGGCACACAGAACCGCCTTCTGATCTTGACTGCTGCGTCTGCCCCACCTGCCAGCAGGTGCTGACCCAGCAGGACCTCGTTTCTCATCAAGCCCTGCACCTGGAGGAGGAGGAATTCCCTTCCTTGCAGGCCATTAGCCGGATCATCAGCTAGCTGTCCCAGGTGACCAATAAAGTTAGTCTCCCTCTGAAAAGTGGCTCTTCTCAGGCAGGTTCTCTACCCAGGGGAGAGGAGCCAGCTGTGTGCGTGGGCCAAAGGGCCTCCTGACCTGTGGAAGAAAAGCAGGGGGAATTCAATGGTGACAGACTAAAGGAAGACGTAGCTGTAATAGAAACCTGGGGGCAGTCCTTCTCCCCTGCAGAATAGGATGGAGCAGCAGGGCGACGGACACTTGGTTTACTGTTGTGGATAAGAATTTAACTCGTAGCTGGCCATAGCAAGGATGCCGGGCAAAGGGCGGCGGCTGCTTTCTGAAGAGGGGAAGGTTGGGGTTGGCTGCTGAGAAATAATGAAGAGCGGCTCCCAGGGTCTGTCCAAAAGGATTCCAGAAGATGGGAGAGAATAGTGACAGGTTTGGGCAAAGAATGCCGTTTGGCCTTTCTCTATCCTTCTTTCCCTCATTCTTCACAGTGTTTTGCAGAGAGGACTTTGTGGCTTGTCTCAGCAGGAAAGAGTCCTCAGGCAGAAGAGTTGCCCAAGAACCCAGAATCTGTTGCTCTCAAGTTGTTTCTAAAGGAAACCTGGGCCCTTTTGTTCTCTTAGACTTGCATGCGGGGGGAAAGGTACCATTCAGTGCTTTCTTTACTTCTCACTGTAAGTGTAGGTTTCTGTCCAGTGATGTGAATTCAGTTATTTCCATGGTCTTGAGTGCTCGTGGCTCATTAAATGCTGCTCAGCAGTGACCCCTTCCTGATGCCTCAGTTCCATCCTGGCATGTTCTTGAAAAGGGCTGCTTGCCTGGATCTCCGCCCCAGTGACTTTGGATGCCCTGAGTGTTGCCAGCTGCTATCCATGAGTTCTGTCCTGTTCCTTCTCCAGACCATCTCCAGCAGCAGAGTTGAGTTGCTTCCATAGAAAGGTTCTTGAGACTGTAAAGTTGGTCAGAGGCTCCACTAGCTCTTTACATTCAAGAGTAGACATTATAAATATGATTTACGATTTTCTGTTGTGTTTTTCCTCTCTCTTCGCTCTGTCTTCTCCCCCTCTCTCCCTCCCCCTCCCTCCCTCTCTCTCTCCCTCCCTCTCTCTCTCTCTCTCACACACACACACACACACACACACAGAACCACATGTGAGTATTCAAGACCCAGCACAGGCCCCTTGAATTTTCATTTTGTGTACATATATGTGGCATATAATTGGATTGTGCTACTTCCCACTGCTTCTATTTAAAGAGGGAGGGAGACGACAGAAAACATTTGATGTCTTGCGAAGCAAAAAGTACAATCTACAGATCTGCGACATTCATTTTTGTGGGCTGCCTTTAGTTCCTGAGGATTTGGTGTTAATTTTAAAGAGCAAAAATGGTAGATTCGTGTTTTTTAAAATCACTATTTGCAGAGCACTTTGCTGTAGCAAGTTGGTCGTTGAGTTCCAAAACTGAAGCGAACGTTCTTTTATGTTGGCAACGCTTGTAAGAAGACCTGTAGCCTCAATCTCAGACAATCTTATTTTGTCTTCAGATGAAGTTCAATTTACTGTTTCTGAGTCTTAAAAGTTGCGTTTTTCAGCCAACATTTTCCAGTCATTTCCACATTTTCCCTGCAACTATAATAGAACGCAGGGCTCCTTTCAACTTCAGCCAAGGCCTGGGACTGCAAATCAGCTCTCCTCTCACCCGTAACATATTCATGGATCTCCTTTGCCACTCCACCCCCACATTAGGCCTGTTTCTACTGGCAGGACATCCCTTTTTCTCCCTTCCTGAATGCCCTGCGGTGAGACTGTATGTGGGGGTCCTGAGGATTCTGTGGTGCTGTTTTTTGCCCCAAGCTCCTGCTCCTTTAGGCTCTCTCTTGAAAGTAATGGCTCCCATTGCAGAGTTTTCCCATTGAGCACGAATGGAAGACAAGGAAGCTGCTGCTCCTTACAGTAGCACCCCCCACCTCAGTCTGACTGGGGCTCTTCATGAGAAGAAGAGCCATCAGCCTCAGTCTGGGTAGGACAGCTCAGTTGCCCGGCATCCTGGAAGGGATGACATAAAAAGGAGCCCTGCTGGCCTGAGAGGATGCCTCTCAATAACCCTGCGCCAGGCATTTGGATCACCCGGTGGCCTCCCTTCCCCAGGAACATTTTGACACATTTCAGGCTCTTCCTTTTAAGCTCTTTATTGGAAAATAAGTTGTAATCGCAACACCAACCATTAAATTAGCACAATCACAGACTAATCTGTTGTTCAAAATGTATAGCTATACTTATATACATAAAAATGTAAACATTAAAAAAAATCACACGGTCGGCTTTTCTGTTACAGTGCATGTTGGATGACTTCAAGTGGCCACTTTTTTCCTGCTGTTGGTGATGAATGGAAGCCTCTTTGATCTCCGAATTAACCTTGACAAGAAACAAGGAGAAGCCAAAATGGCAGTGCAGCAATTCCGGACTTTTCTCTCCCCTCCAACCAGACCTCTGCCAATGGGGATGGTTTGGCCGACCACAGAATGGTTGCCGGGGTTAAGGAGAACCGGAACCTGCTTGAGGCAGAAATCCAGTCTAGGGAAATGGGTTGCCTGCACTGCCTGAAATGATGGAGGGTTTCTTGCTGGGGCAGGAGGAGGCCAAAAGGGAGGCTTTTGCAGCTGGGATTGATCTGAAGGGAGAATTAACCTGCTGCTGCTGCTGCATTAACAAGGCAGAATCATCCCTGAAATGCCCACTGGCCCTTTGCTGGGACATAAAAGGGGATGCTGGGTGGGCTGAGGCTGCTGCTCGGGAGTCCCAAAGGGCTCCAGTTCCACCTGCTTTGGCCGTGGGGCTCCTGTGTCACTCCCTGGAAACTGTCTCCCTCCTGGAGTCCTGATGGTTTGTGTCGTCCTGGCCGTCCATCCCTGCAGTGCTCTCTGGGACAAAGGCAGGTGGAGAGAGAGCTGAGGGAAAGTGGAGGCTTAGAAGGAAGGGCCAGCCTCTCTCGCTCCTTTGGCAGTGGCCGAGGGCCACAGGACCTGGCTGTAAATCCTCCTGCCTGGGGAGGGTGAAACCCTTTGGCTTCTCAAGAGCAAATTGGGTGCACTGGAGCTCTCCTTTTAGCACATTCTTTGGGAAAGTGACAGCCCCACAAAAGAGTTTTAGAACTGGGACAATCCTAACATTTCAGGTTATGTTGGGGGTGGGGATTGTTCAGGATAAAAACAGCCATTTTCACCCAGTTAAGGAAAGAATTGCTACAGAAAGCAACATGGCTGCTCTGACCCATTTGCTGCAGGTTTGTGCTGAGGAATTGTGCCTGGATGCCGTCAGCCGCTTGGCCCTTGCTGGGCGTGGGGAGGGGGATCCGGAGCTCCCTCATTTCCAGCCCACCCGCAGCTGCTTCCAGTACAGTGCTGGCCCAGCCACCATCTTTTGATGATCTAACTCCATCCCCCCGAGCCAGAATCGGGCTGAGGTGGGCGCAGTGGAGCTTCTGGCTTGAGCCAAGGCCATGATTTGGGATTAGGCTGGCTTCGCTGCTACACACACACACACACACACACACACAAAACACCGTGTGTTCTAGTCCACACCATTTTCAGTGTCAGCCTTGAGTTGTGAATGCTGCATAACACATTGACACAGCTTTGTCCAAGCCACCGAACCAGTTCCCGCCTCTCCCCGTAAGCTCTGGAGGCTGAAAGGAAGGGAATACATGCGTAGGCAGCACGTGCATACATTCAGAACAGTAATCTATAGCACATGAACAGTGACCGAGACGTTTCTACCACTCCACAAAACATAATCGCCCGTTTTTTCTTTTTTCCTTACAGTTAGCACAAGGGTAGCCTGAAAAGGGTTTCTTCATAGTTAGGAAAAAAGTACACTACTGAACAGACATTTATTTCACACGTACAACCGAGAGAAACATTTAAATATTTGATAATTCTGCTTCTGAGTCTGCATGGTTTCTTCCTAAAATGCTGAAACACAAGTTTTGTGAGGTGCTAATATCGCAGTGTTCTCTCTAAGGAAAATACTGTATTGCTTCAATTCTACCCTGTTTTAAAAACATCTTCAATCTTGCACTGCTTTTGAACTGCCAAGGCTGCCTTGATCACCTGGCAGAATCAAATCTGGTGTGCTTTAAGGCTGAAATATGTCCACGGCCATTTTAACAGTCCCTGTGAAAATTTAGCGTATTGATTATTTACTATTTCTGTTTGATTTCTGCCTTTCCCACTCCCAAGATATCTGAGGCAGCTAAAATATACATTATCCCACTTTCATGGTTTTTTGCACTTGGAATTATATTATAAATACTTTTTCTTTGAAACTTACAAAACTTGTCCCTATGAAACGGTTACTTGAGTTGCAAAGGAAAGGGAGTTTTCTCAAAGCTTATGCCAACATGTATCTTTGTTTCAGAGGAAATCATAGGTAGCCTCAAATGAGACGGGGCTTTTTAAAGGAGTGGGAGGAATAACATTTTTGTCTCATTCATGTTGAAAAAGAGCATGCCAAATGTTAGTAATCTTAACCACTGGGGGCCACCCAGTGTCTGGAATCAAGACTCTACTTTTGTCTTTGAATATCCTCCCAACTTTCCCTCCCCTTTCTGATTTCTCAACAAGAAGATCATAGGGGCCACCAAATCTTGAGATGGCACCTAAGTTGGCCAAATGCTACATTTCGTGCTGTTGAAGTTTTATTGGTTTGTTTCCTGTCTGGAACAAGGTTTAGTTTTTGGTGCTCAAATTAAACAACAAAGTGTCCTGGAATACCAGAAACATGCGTGCAGCATATGTACATATTTATTGTCCTAAATATAGCACTTATATACACCCAACTATACATCAGAGAAGATGACCACAGCTATTCTTTCTGGTAGTTTAATTTGGCACATTCCTTTTTAACAGTTCTAAGTTCTTTCTAGGAGGAAAGAAAATTGAAAAGGAGGGAAAGAGAAGACTTCTAAGAGTGTCTGGGAGAACTATTGTTTTGTGATTACCTTGGAAGTACTTGAAGTACCAGCTGGCTAGGAAAGATGGGCACTCTATCTGGCTGGTCCCTTGGGTATTCATGGCATCTACAAACAAGGAACAGGGCTTTGATCACGCAGTGGTGGCTGCCATCTTGTTTTGGCGGGGCACCCATACCGCTCCAGCACCCCTGTGTCTTGCCAGGGTTTTTGTGCACTTGCAGCCAAGTGTCACATGAATAAATGCCACTGCAGTCAGGGAAATGGGAGTTACAGCTTTTCTAGAGTTTCCTGCTTAGAGGGAACACTGTTGCCCTTCTCTCTCTTTTTAAAGTAAAAATATCCTTGGACAGATAAGACAAGAACCACTGTACAGAATTCACTGCACCATTAGCTAAGAGTAAGTTTAACCCAGCACATAACTCACCACATGTCAAAAAATTTAAAAAAGGAAAAGGAAAGTACTTTTGAATACACTTGCAACCAATCTGTTGACTATACTTGCATCTTGTGGTATGTCAGCCCATTTTTCTGGGTCTGGTTTCAGTTTGCTCTGAAACCCCATTTGCGGGAGGGTCACCTGCCCCTTCAGTAAGCTGGCACCTGGTAACCTTTGGGGCTGGTGTTCAGGGTCTCGGAGAATGGTGGGCTCTGATAGGTTTCTGTGCTTTCGATGCCACCGCTGGTGGGAGGGTGTCCCGGATATCCTGCCATGGGATCAGGGCCAAACTGATCCGTGGCAAAGAGAGACATGTCAGTCCCCATCCGGTATCTTTGGAGGGCTTTTATGGTCAGGGCAACCTGTAACAGCAAAGAGAACATTTAAATTCTGTTTTAGGCCCAGGACTCTTCAATATCTTCATAAATGACTTAGGTTAGGAAATAGAAGGGGAACTCGAGATTTGCAGATGACACTAAACCAGCAGGAACAGCCAACACCCCGGAAGACAAACTCGGGATCCAAAAAGATCTTGACAGACTTGAACAATGGGCCTTATCCAACAACATGAAATTTAATGTGGAGAAAAGCAAGATTTTAGGCAGGAAAAACCAAAAGTACAATTACAGATTAGGTGAAATCTGGTTCAAAAACAGTAACCATGAGAGGGGCTTTGGAGTCCTAGTGGACTATCACTTAAACATGAGCCAGCTTTGTGTGGCAGCAGTCAAAAAAGCTAATACAATCCTTGGTTGTATAAACAGAGACATAGAATCAAAATTATCTGAAGTATTAGTACCGCTTTATAAACCTTAGTAAGGCCACAGCGGTATAGAAGTCTTAAGTGCTATTGCTATCTATATCTTGAACTTATCTGAAGCCCCACCAGGTCTTGTTCACTGGAGTTCAGACACTACACAAAGCCCCCAAATATTAAACAGACTTGTGCAATCAGAGCCCCAACACACACACACACACACACACACACACACCTATACATCATATGGCACAAGTATGTATACCATCTTGACTTTTTGACACACATGCACCAATACACATACAGGTGTCTTTCTTGTCAGGGATCATGAAGGGTATAAATATAGCATTTTAAAACATTAACTCTTAAGGCACAATTAGCGCCTGCAAGGCTACCAGCTCTGGGCAGGGGAGCCCAGAATGTGTTATTCTTACCCAGGAGATGATGGAGAAGAAGGAGAAAGCAATGGCTGCTCGGGCAGCATCCCCTCCTTGTGATGCCCCTTTGCTGGCAGGGGTGCGTTGCCACTGGTTGGCCAGAAAGCAGAACGCCACAAACCAGAGGAAGGACCAGAAGCCTGTCGAGCAGAAAAAACAGTCAGCACCCCTGTTGCTTGGATACATTTCAAGGTAGACCAAAGAACTCTGGAAACAGAACCGCTCAGAGCAGACTTTGCAGTGCCTAGGAGGGCTGCTGGCATCCTGGAGGATCAGAGGAGAGCAACTATCAACTGTGGAGTTGTCAGCTTCACGTCAGAGCAAGGCCCTCTTTAGGTGCACTTAGACAACATGCTCCAATGAAGGAGACGAAGCAAAGGTTTGTGGCCATCAAATGGTGCCTGGCTCCCCTTCTCTCTTTGGGCAGAATTTCTAACTCGGTAGCTCAGAGGATGCGTTTAGACATGGCATCACTGGACCTTTGTTGTAGCTCCTCTAAATCTCTCCTAAAAGTCTCCAGTCTAAACTAAAGTGTTGTTAGGTGCCCCCCCCCCAGTTGTCTGAATGAGGACACCCTGTGCCTCCACTTCAGCTTTGAGCGTTGTTTCCAGTACTGCGCTGCCCCTCTCAGTCCTGGACTCTGTCGGCTCAATTGCCCATCAGTGACCTGGACAAGGGATCGGAGGGGATGCTGGTAACGTTTGCAGGTGACTCTGCTGAGAAGAGTGGCTAAAGACGTTGACAAGATCAAAACCTCCCATCCTGGGCCGAAATGAACAGAGAGGAAGGGGAGGCCCTGGGCTGCGGTCTGCCCTGCCTTGAAGAACGGCTGGAGAGGCAGGTGCTCTCTTGGGGTGGACAGAGAGGAGCAGGGAATAAAGCAGGGCGCCCTTCCCTGCCCTGGTCAGACCCCATTTGGAACACCTGCTCCAGTTTGGGGCACCCCAGTTCAGATGAGCAGGGACAGATTGGAGGAGGGTTACAGGAGACTGGGAGGGAAATCGACCCCTGTGAGGAGCAGTGAATGCCCTGACTCCACTCAGCCTACAGAGAAGGACTCTAAGGGCAGGTGTGGGAGCCCCCCACCAGATATCAGCAGGGTTGCTTATCACAAAGGACACAACCAGACCGCAGCTAAAAGCCCTCGGAAGGAGGTTCAGGCTAGACGTCCGGATAGCGCAAGCTGTCAGCCAGGGAAAGAGAGCCACCCCATGGAGACGTCTGCTCTGCGAGGAGGCAGAGCTCTGATCATGCCCACCGTGGGGGCCTTTTTACCACCCCCGCTCTGTCTTGCCCTCTGTGTTATTTTTAACAATACTGCAACATTCTTTACTTAGAAGTTCTACTCCAGGCAGTCCTCGACTTACAACATTTCATTTAGGGACCGTTCAAACTTACAATGGGAGTGAAAAAAGTGACATGACTGTTTTTCACACTTATGACCATTGCAACATCCCCACGGTCACATGTTCAAAATTCAGACGCTTGGCAACTGGCATGTACTTATGCCAGTTGCCCTGTCCCAGGGTCACGTAATCAGCTTTTGCGACCTTCTGACAAGCAAAGTTGATGGGGAAGCCATATTCACTTAACAATCATGTTACTAACTGCAAAGATTCATTAACAACTATGGCAAGAAAGGTCATAAAATGGGGTGAAACTCACTTAAAGAATGTCTCAGCAACATAAATTTTGTGGTCGTAACTTAAGGACTGCCTGTACTGCTTTGTGTTACAATTTAGAACCTGTCAGATCCGCCAGGCTCAGCTTGGATCTCAGAGGCATCCTGCCATCCAGGTCTGGAAATAAGGCATGGAAGGGCAATAAAGCTTTGTGTGCACATGATGGGAAAGAGGGAGGGGGGAATGACAGGTGATAAGCTCAGAACCAGTTTGTACCAGCATCCAAGGCCAGGCAGCCTGAGAAAATATGTGGATTAACCCAAAACATTTCAGCATTCTCAAAACACTTTAGCGAGTTCTGATTGGCTGAAGATGAACTGGTCTGTATCTTTTGAGCGCAGGAAACTCAGAGCTTGCCTGACTTTACTGCAGTCAACATCTCTTAGTAAAATAACCTTTTGCTTCAACCAAATGGAGTTGAGGGTCTTTCTTTCCTAAGGGACCAGATTGGGCGGGTCTAACATTAGGAGAGCTCTTGGGTTCCCATGCTCAAAAGAAGTCTGACTAAACCTTTGCCTTATCTCATCAAAAATAAAGGGTCCAAGGACGGGCAGGAAGGTCCTGGGTCTTGTTGATCTGCAGCCCTCTTGGCTTCCCAGCCTTCCTTTCAATTCCAAGGCAAGTTTCAAAGCAAAAACATCCCTACTCTCAATCATCACCCATGAATGCAGCCAGCTGGAAAACACCCCCAAAGGAAACGTAAAAGCCATTCCCAAACGCCTTCAGAATACACTGAGAAGATGGAAGGAAGAAGGAGGGAGAACATCTGAGAAGTTGTAAAACAGATTTTAACACAATAGTTTTATTGCCTGGACTAACTGTTTTTGCTTTTCTTTGGTTGGATTTCCATCAGAATTGAGCAGGACTAAACATCGTCATTCCTTACACACCTGCAATTGTTCAAGCACTTTGTAAGACACACTTGTGCCAGCCCACCCGGCCTTTGTCCATGGGCAATGTGGCATAAAGCCATGCTCACTGGATTCACCAGGTGAGGCTCATGATGTGTGATTTAGCCTGTTTCGGCTGTTATGCAAAGCCATGGTCTTGTTTGTTTTGGCACCACATGCTATGTGGATACAAGAATGTTTGGTGAACCCAAGTCTGGGTTGATTATGTGGTGTGAACCAGCCCCTGCATGAGTCAAACTCCTCGCCCCATCCCAGCGGACATACCAGAAAAGCCAAGGTCCAAGAGGACAATGCGCTTCCTGTCCTTCACACTGCTGATCTGCTGGAAATAGAGGTCCATCACCAGGAAGAAGCTGCAGGCCAGGAAAGCCAGCAGCCCTATTGCGATGCCATAGTTGCAGGCTCCTTCATTGCTGTTGAAAATGCAGTGCAGCACCGGGGACGTATCTGTGTTCACATAACCTTCATTGATGATGGAGCCAAACACCACAATAGAGAACACCTGCAATGGGGGTGGGGGGGAAGGAAGGAAAGAGAGGAACAAGGTGAAGTTGAAACCTCAGCTCTTTCCAAAAGGGTTCATATTATACCATGTTTCATTTCTGGTCCATCCTCAAAACAACTTATATAAACCAGAGAAAATATGCTAAAACATATCAAGAGAGGATCAAGAATGCCTGTATCTGGAGAAGGTCTCCACTCTCTGATTATTGTACAAAACATATGTCTCAAGGGGGGAAGGTTTCAGAAGGGAAGAGTACAAGTACAAGCTCATCCCTATTAAAATTTGACCCGATGAGAACAGCGCATGCCTCTAGGACGGGGGCAGGTAGAGTCAGCCCAAAGCAGGTGCCATCACCCTGCCTGGGTCTTCTCAGTGAGAGATGCCATTCACTGATGGTCAAGGGGAGAACAAGGCACTTTGCGGAAACAAGATTGGGATGGATTATTTTAAAAGCAGATGTTAACGTGCCCCCTCCACTTTAGCCTTGCTCCATGCGGGGGGGAACCAGGAGGGGGTGTCAAATCAAGAGGTGATCTCAACCCCATGATTGAATATTACAATCACAGAACCTAAGCCTTGTATGTGAATGCTGTGTACATCCCATGTACCAAAGGCTTTGACATGGCCAGCATCCTTCTTCATGGATGTTCCACCCTGCCCGAGGCCCGAGGCCCCTGGCCTTTTCTATTCTACAATCCAAAAAATCAGCCCATTAGCTTTCAGAACATAAGAAAGGAAAAAGGAGATTTACCGGAAATCATGGTGGAAATATTAGCAAAAGCACTTGGAATAGAGAAGGAAGAGATGTTGATGGGGATAGACGAAATTTATAGAGTACAGACAAACTAGGTGAGGAGACATAATTTACCAAAGGAAATACATGTTAGATTGGTGAAAAAATCAATCCGGGATGAAATACTGAAGAAAACAATTGGTAATCATAAAGCAAATGCCAAGAAGGGTCAGAGAAATGTGAAGACCGTATCAATTTTTTACTTCAAAATTAATCAAATATAACATCAACTTCAGACAGCTGATACTGGAAGGCATCATGGTCTTGTGGCAGGATAAAAGACACAGAATAGACACAGTGGACAAGGTGGAGGAATTCTATAATCCATATGTTGTAGTATCAATCAATATGTAGTAATGAAGAAGAAGAAGAAGAAAGGGAAGAAAGGGAAGAAAGAGAACTGAGACTGGTAGAAAAAGAAAAGAAAATATTACAAATTAAAGAGAGGGGAGATGGAAAAGAAGACAAGATGGAGAACTATGAGAGAAGATACCATGAACCAGTGGTGGGTTCCGGATCCCGTTGCAACAGGTACAGTTGCAACGGTGCCCGGCGTCCTCCACATGAAGGGTGCACGCTTGCATCGTACCTTCCAGTGATGCCTCCGCAAGCCTCTGTGACACTCCAACTGCTTGGTGGAGCATCGCACAGGGGCTGTACATGCCATGCCCACGCGCAGAAGCACCGAAGGCTTTAAAGGACAGGTAAGGAGCTCAGGTAGGCAAGTGGGCCCTCCGGAGCACCGTACCAGAACTCCGGGCAGGCTCCGGTACACCTGTACCAGGGAGTACCACCTGCAACCCACCACTGCCATGAACCAAAAGAAGTTAGAACAACAAGAAGCACAAACTGAGGTATAGATAGAGAAATGCAGGAAGACTCACCCTTAAAAAGAAGGAAAACATTTAATAAATTAAAGAGGTTAAACTTGGATATAATTGCAATACAGGAAGTCCATATAAAAGAAAAAGAAAAACTACTGTTAGAATATACCAAACTAGGGATCATATATGCCTCATTAGCACAACAAAAAAGAGAGTAGTGCTATATATTAAAGAGGCGATTTCAGCCAAGCAAATTTATAAGGGTGAAGATGGAAGGATCCTGATAGTAGAGATAGAAATAAATGAGAAAAAAATTCTATTAGTAGAAATCTATGCTCTGAATAGAGAACAAGAGCAATTTTATATGAAATTGCATAACATTATTTGTGATATAACATGACAACATTTGTATTTTGGAAGAGTACAATGCAATAACTCATAAAAAATTAGACTATAAACTAATACACATACTACTTGAATAGACACCAATCATGGTCCAGAATTGACATGCTCTGGACATCACTAGAATAGCAATCAGACATGAAGGAAGTTGAAATTGACGTGAACCTCTGGGCAGACCATAACTCCATGATAATTAGTTTGATAGGGGAAAAGAGGACAACAGGGTGGACATTGAAAAGACCGATTTGAAAACATGAAGAATTAAATTAATAATGAATGGAGAGGTGACAAAAAAGTTTAAAATTCAGAAGAGTAAGAGGCAAGGGTGTCCTTATCCCCATTGTCATTCATAATGACTCTAGAAGTGTTAACGAGGATAATATGGAAAGAAACACAAATCAAAGGTCTGGAAATTAGGAAAGAAGTTTATAAATTGCAAGCATTTGCAGACGATTTAGTTTTTATTCTTGAAGAACCACTAAATTCAGGTTTGAGGCTGATGAAAGTATTAGAAGAATATGGAGATGCATCCGGATTGAAAATTAAAAAGATAAAACTAAAATGATAGTTAAAAAAACATGCCACTCCGCCCGAGGCCCCTGGCCTTTTCTATTCATCTGCCCAACAGTCAGTCTTTCGCCAAATGCTGCATCAGGATATCTTTGAAAACCTTCTCTCCTCCATGGGGTGAAGTTCCAAAGAGCATTTTAAAGAACCACAGATGGGTTTCTAGCATAGGTAGCAGAAGCACCCAAAGCAACCAAGAGGATCTTCAGAAAGTCCCTGGGGCCACGGGACAGGAGGACTGGCGGGCTTTCTGACAGAAGAGACCGGCAGGGAGTGGAAGCTGCTTGGAAAGAAGCCCTGGGCGGCTGGGAAAAGCCAGGGCCTTGCTGACTTCTGAGTGGAGGAGAGCAGATATTCCAGGGCAGTAACAAGGCAACCTCAGTTCCCCACAGAAAGCCAGGCAGGATGGAAGACCGTTACTCTGGGGATGAGGAACCAGGAGGACTCCCAAGGGGGAAACATCTAAGAGAAGACAATGGACAGTTGTCCATTGTGGCCAGGATAACCCAATGAAGATGTCTAGGCAAGTCAGAGAGACTTGGTTCCCTTTTGGAAGCCAGGAGAACTTCTAGACTCTTCCTCAGAAGAGGAACGACAGAAGAGGGAGGAGAAGAACAGGGAAGCTTGAGGAAAGGTCCATAAGTTAGAAGAAGAAAACAGACTACGGTCAGCACAGGTGTCCTTGGCCACAATTCTATAAGCTAAGAGTTGGAAATAGCAATGAAAAATAAAACCAGGGAATTTTGCCCCCATCATGCAAATCAAGATGAAGTCGGTTTCAAGCCTCCCCTGCTGTGATGCTTTTCTCTCCTCGACTTCCCTGTCTGCACGCTCCTCCGGTCGGAGCTCCTGCGCAGCCGAGCTTCCTAGCAGGACCACAGCAGAAGCTCTCAGGCACAGCAAAGAAGCAGCTCTGGCCTAAGGGCAGCTAAGGGGCTCTGGACTGTGAAGGGGCTGCCAGGGATCAATAAGCCACACACGAGCTGTTAAAAAGTGGAACACCTGGAGAAGAGGACTGCCCGGAAGAAGGAAATACTGACCAATACTGTCCTCCCAATGGTTAATATATGAGAGAGGCCCTCGAGTCTCCTATTCTCCATTCCTTTTTTTTAAAGTTTTTATTTTACACACATAAACACATCAACAACAAACACATGACTTAGGACAACATAGGAACCAAAAGTTCCATCAAAAACCATAGGGCAGTTCCGTATTGGTTTCTTTGCAATTAGTATTTTCCCTTTCTATAATTAGCTATTNTCTATCTATCTATCTATCTATCTATCTATCTATCTATCTATCTATCATCTATCTATCATCTATCTATCTATCTATCTATCTATCTATCTATCTTTGCTTCGCTGATGTATCTTTAGACTCTAAATGACTCAGTGAATTAGCTGAACATACAGAGTCTTTCATTGGTGTATGTAAGTACAGTAGTGGCCAAAATTGTGGAAACGTTTTGGGAAAAATGCATTTTTGAGGTTTGATGGCTTATAAAAACGCTTTGCTTTGGCGCAGTACCATAAAATTATGTATCAATGGAAAGATTATTTAATCAAGAATGTAATGCAACAAAATTTCTTCAATTAGCTGAAAGGAGCTAACTTTGCAATGACATGACGTGCGATCTCGAGGCTCCGAGATCACAGTCAATACTTTTGCCGCTGGTTGGTCCATCTGGACCTAAATTGTCCCGAAGAGACATTGACAGGGAAGAGTATGTCGTGCTGATCTCAGGGACATCACAAAGTCTCTGATTGATCCAAGAGAATCTCTTCTAGCCGGCAACAAAAAGCACAGCCTCAAGCTGCTGAAGTTGGGAGAGCTCTGCAACGGGAGGAAAAGTGGAAAGAGAAAGTGTGTCGATCGGGTGAGGAAATTTTATTTTTTTAAAAGACGGCCCAAAAAAGATGGAAGTTAAATCAAATTGGTAAAGAAAAGGAAATAAGTGGCGGAATTAGCATAATTGGAGTGTGTTATCTTTCTTTTCTTTTATTTTTTTCTATCGATGGAAGTTTTGCAAATATTTTTTTACTTTTTAAAGTGAAGGTTTTGGATTTTTCTCCTTCTATTTCTTTTTTTATCTATGGATTAATTTTTTCCCCTTTACTTCTACAATATTGGTTGGGATGGATTTTTTCTTTTTATTTAGTTTCATTTAAGAACTTTATTTCTTCTAAGCCTGAAAGTATAAAGAAGATTTAAAAGGTATATAAAGAGGGTAGTAACCTGAGAGGGGAAAAAGTTAAGACTGCCACTTGGAGGTTGGAGGATGAGACCTGGAAACATCATTTTGACCTTGCACTTCGAAAGCTTCAGCTTGTTTATAAAGAAGGGCATGAATTGTTTACGCAGGTGCCCTTTGGATGTTTGTTGCTAGCTGGAAAGAAGTGAAAACAAAGATT